GTAATTTTTTACAGATTTTAGCTTATAGATTGTCTCAGAATCGGCCCATAAAACTGATAATACTTAAAATACAACTTATTTAAAAAATATAAATACATTTTATGTATTATTTGCGTCGATAACTATTTAGCTATTAAGTTGCTGTAATCGATTTATTTATTACGGAAAAAGGATGTCAAATGACCAATGAATAATTTATCAGAACAGCATAATTGATTTGAGCTTACGTACGATTGTAAATTGTTGACGAATCTACTTGACCACTGTCAATAATCCTGAACCAAGCAACCCTGAACTTCGGTGAATCAAGTTAACATAGTAAACACAGATAATGCAGGTTTTTTATTTTGATTTAGTTGAATTAATAAGTTTCATGATTAAACTGACCAGTTATAGGTATTTTATCACTTATCCCTATCAAAAATTATACTTATTTTTGTATTAATAAAATGGGTGGTTAATCAAAACTTTTAACTATTTATTTAAAATATAATAAAATTATGTTCATTTTTCGAGAAGATAATGTGGACGCATTAATACTACTACTACCCTATGATATTCCAATTGGTTTTTTATTTAATTTTATTTATTTTTGTTTATTTTTGTTTTTTATGTTTATTTTTGTTTATTTTTGTTTATTTATGTTTCATTTTATTTTGTTTAATTTTGTTTAATTTTGTTTAATTTTGTTTAATTTTGTTTAATTTTGTTTAATTTTGTTTAATTTTGTTTAATTTTGTTTAATTTTGTTTAATTTTGTTTAATTTTGTTTAATTTTGTTTAATTTTGTTTAATTTTGTTTAATTTTGTTTAATTTTGTTTAATTTTGTTTAATTTTGTTTAATTTTGTTTAATTTTGTTTAATTTTGTTTAATTTTGTTTAATTTTGTTTAATTTTGTTTAATTTTGTTTAATTTTATTTAATTTTGTTTAATTTTGTTTAATTTTGTTTAATTTTGTTTAATTTTGTTTAATTTTGTTTAATTTTGTTTAATTTTGTTTAATTTTGTTTAATTTTGTTTAATTTTGTTTAATTTTGTTTAATTTTGTTTAATTTTATTTAATTTTGTTTAATTTTGTTTAATTTTGTTTAATTTTGTTTAATTTTGTTTAATTTTGTTTAATTTTGTTTAATTTTGTTTAATTTTGTTTAATTTTGTTTAATTTTGTTTAATTTTGTTTAATTTTGTTTAATTTTGTTTAATTTTGTTTAATTTTGTTTAATTTTGTTTAATTTTGTTTAATTTTGTTTAATTTTGTTTAATTTTGTTTAATTTTGTTTAATTTTGTTTAATTTTGTTTAATTTTGTTTAATTTTGTTTAATTTTGTTTAATTTTGTTTAATTTTGTTTAATTTTGTTTAATTTTGTTTAATTTTGTTTAATTTTGTTTCATTTTGTTTCATTTTGTTTCATTTTGTTTCATTTTGTTTCATTTTGTTTCATTTTGTTTCATTTTGTTTCATTTTGTTTCATTTTGTTTCATTTTGTTTCATTTTGTTTCATTTTGTTTCATTTTGTTTCATTTTGTTTCATTTTGTTTCATTTTGTTTCATTTTGTTTCATTTTGTTTCATTTTGTTTCATTTTGTTTCATTTTGTTTCATTTTGTTTCATTTTGTTTCATTTTGTTTCATTTTGTTTCATTTTGTTTCGTTTTGTTTCATTTTGTTTCATTTTGTTTCATTTTGTTCCATTTTGTTTCATATTTTTTTAGATTAGGTAACGTTCACGAAGGTAAAAACCTACATATTACTGAGTGGTTGGGCTAAGTTTATTACCAAATAACGTTTTTATTATGTTTATATAGAATTAATTACTTATTAATCAAGGAGCGTAGAAATCCAAGCTAGTCGACTTTTTGTTTCGCTATAAAAACAGGATTTTTAAATGTCAACCTAAATTACAAAACAAATTGTTTCATTGAGTGAGTATTTTGTTATAAAGCCTTAAATAGATTTTTGATTAAAATAAAAATTAGCAACGAAAGAAAATATAGGTACTTTGTCTGTCTCGTGAGAGTCGTGAGCCATTTCCTGTTTGTCAATCCCAGAACAACCCTAATTGCAAAATAAAAATCACTTTTATTTCCTAACCTTCAAAACTTTGATTTTGATCAAGGGGGTGACAATGCATTCATGAATGATTAACGATACACAAGAAAAGTATTTTATCACCATCCCTCACCGTTTGCGTGCCGGCAATAATAATAAGTGGAACACACTCGTCATATCTTGATTTATCATCAAATTGGGTTATAATTTAGGTTAAATTTAACATTATTTTTCTTTCTTTTCCGAGTAAAACGGCTATTCAACTCCCAGGAAATCTAGACGACAATTTTAGGGTTAGCGTCCTCAATGCATATAATTTTCATTAGCAGAAGTCGCAACTATTATTTCCTGCTTATTTAAAAGAAAGGAAATAAATGCTTCTATAATTAATCGTGCGATAGTAGACGAAAAAACAAAAAAAAAAATACGTGTGGCGCTCGGGGACTGCCGCGGTAAAGCTATTGCATAGCATTTTTTATCAACTTATGCAATTATAATTATTTATTTATTTTATTTATGCAGTATTTTTTTTCTTTGATATTACTTCAAGTTTTTTCTTTGATATTAATTCAAGTTACACTTTTTGAGCGTGGTGACCGATAAGAAAACAATTTTTTTCTTTTATTGAATAAATGAGAAGTTAATATTGTTTAAAATATTTTTATTATCTTACAATACATGTAGGTTATTCAGGAATTTTTATCATTGAAACTATAGGTTTATGGTAACTGAAATAAGAAACATAAGTTTGAGACTTACCTCAATAAATATAAGATCATTTCAAACAAACAATTCGGCTTTCGAGACGGGCTCTCAACAAGAGATGCGATCTGTGAGTTGTTAAAAAAAATTTATAGTTCTGTTGACTGCAAAAAAACATGTCTAGCAGTTTTCCTGGATTTTGCCAAGGCCTTCGACACTGTAGATCATAGACAGTTGTTAGAGACATTGGAAGATATAGGGATACGTGGGAAAACTTTTGATAGTTATCTGAACAATAGATTTCAAAGAGTTAAAATCAATAATGAAATCAATGACGTGAGGCCAATAGAAAGCGGTGTTCCTCAAGGAACTATATTAGGTCACACTTTATTTACATTATATGTAAACAAATTATATAATTTACAGACCACAGAAGAAATGGTAAGTTTTGCAAATGACACTGGGATTTTTTATGAAGCAGAAACTTGGGACGATCTAAAACGGAAAACTGAAAGATTCTCCTAAGAATTTTAATCCTCGATGCCTTTAAAAACAGCGTTTCCACATTGACGTATGACATTTATGATAAGAATCTTGAGAAAAATAAGTGCTCCCATACTTTGAAAATAGCCCCCCTGGTTAGAGTGACGGAGTAAAATGGAATGGCGTATGACAGTTATGGATGTAATAAAAAAATTATGCGTCCGAGCGTTTATCTAAAATGTTGACGCAGTTCCTGATATTGGCTCTGTATCGTTTTCGTCTGGCCACTGTGTATATTTATTTTCATTGGCATACTAACTTATAAAAATTTACCATCTATCGAAGTAAAAAATTATAGGTCATGAATTTTTATTATAGGTAGCTAATTACCATAGATATATAACCAAGACAGATAGGATTATTTACAAAATTTTTGAAGAATGAACGGTGGTGTCCGCGGTAGAAACTCAATAATCGGATTGAACATTGATGCCAAGTTTACGTGCTTTTAACTATAGATATATATAACCGTTGTATGAAGATAATATTTCTTCATACAACGATATAACCAATACAGATTACACAATTTCTGAAGTCAACGCGGATGATCCTCGACAGAAATGCAATATTTGGATAAAATTAAAATATTGATGCCAAGTTTGCGATGTTTTTAACTGTAGTAATGTTATTGCGTTTGCTTGAATTACTGTTGGGTCTTTAAATTGTCCAAAAAAAAATAATGTCTGACAACAGCGGAAGTAGAGTAGACCGCAATTGTGGAGGGTCGTAAATTGTTTCATTCATAAAAATTCCTTCGATACAGTACTAGTCGAGAAGCCAGTGAATTTTTTCGTACTTGTTTTCCCGGTCCGTGTATATTTAAATAATCTATTCCCGGTGAACTGTATATTTAAAATGGAACGCCAATCTATTAACAAAAGTAAGCCAGATTGAATTCGCGCATTAAGTCACATCGATACAAGTAAGATTGTTTACAAAGTGCCTTTGCAGGCCTATTTTGTCCATTTCATGTATTTGTTTTTAAATCATGTTAAATTACTATTTTTGAAACTCAACAAGGAGAAAATCCAATTAACTCTTCCGTTGTATATATATATATATATATATATATATATATATATATATATATATATATATATATATATATATATATATATTATTTTGTTCAAAATCTAATAATTGGGTCCATTAGAAAATCCTTAAATTCTTCATTTTTAATGTTTGTTTAGCGGTAATTCTTAAGCACCTTGTCCAATTTCTAGGATTATTTTTTTGTTAGTAAGGGGGTACCTCAGGGGTGGTCCCATATAAATTTGGTTATGATGTGGTGACGGCATCTGCACGATTTTGAAGTCAGGTTTTTAAAATTATTTTTAATACTTGTATTTTATAAATTACTAAGTCATAAATTGTTTTAAAATAAGTTATTTTGACTTAATAACCTGAAATAATTTTTTAAATTTGTAGATTTAAATTTGTGCTATATGGCCATCATATCCACTCTTGTTGTTTTTTCGCAACCTAGCTAACAATTGTCAAAAAGTTCAAACAAATCCTGTAAATATTGTATTGCTATATTTACTATGACTAAATATTTCATTAGCAAGAGGAATGTGGGAAAATAATAATAGATGCACATCCTTTTCCACTGAAATATCTTTAATTAATCACAGAAATGTTTCACCGTTTCTGCATCGCAAGCTTGTTATTCAATGCATTATTTATTTAATAATAATAACCATCCTGTATAACAGACCAATAAAAAGAGGGTCAAATCAAACTTGACTCTTTGTAGTGTGCACGCTACGATGCCATACAAAATGAAAACCACCTTACGAATAATTGATTGGGCTTTTCCATTTTCCAGAGTGGCGTGTAAAAAATCGGAGAACTGCACCTCTCCATTGTATTATGCGCTGGCTGCTTCTCATGTGCGGCCCTCTTCTCGTTGTCGCGGTGCCTCGTTTCGATCCCACGGCCCTCCTCAGAGACGTGTTAGTGCCCGCCGACGCGGCCGTCGGCTCGGTCATCTACAGGTTGAGGGCTAGCGACCCCACGTTCGATTATCCTTTGGCGTTCGCCGTGGTGGGACAGTCGAGCAATGTGGACGTAGAGAGCTTGAACTGCAGTAGATTTAATTCGGTAAGTATTAATTTTTTTTTATTCTGTCCAACAGTATATACACTCACCGACTTAAAATTCGATCCATTCAAAATAATGATTTATTTAAAAATGCTTTAACTTTCAAATGCGGAGGCTGATTTATTTGAAGTTTTTATTATTATTATTATTATTCGGACATCTAAAAGTAATTTAGTACTCGCCGCATATACAGGGGAGAAGAGAAAATAATTTTTTCCTCTACTTTTGACACACCCTGTAGGTTAATTCTGCTAGTAGATCTGCACAATTAACTTTATCAAGAAGATTGATTTGTTTCCAACACTTTGTTTTTTATTTGCCCCGATATCTTAATTTGTTTGTGAAATGTGACGGTTTAAAGAAAATGCTACATTTTAAAAACGGTCATAATTTAAATGACGGTAGAGAATAAACTACAAAATAAGTAGAGTGCTGTGAACAACTCACAATATGACAACTGTCAAATATTCGTTACTTGGCAATTGCAGTTTAATTATCAGTATAACAAATATTAATTATCAGCATAACATAATGGTTTTAACGCCTACTGATGCAGCACGAGCAGTTGCTCTGGTACAAGACGGTAGGTCTCAGTATTATGCTTCTAGAATATTGGGTATTACAAGCAGAAAGCTGTACAACGTTTTAATGAAACTGGTAGTTTTTCGAGACGAAGAAGATCTACGTTCTACAAATGTTCGAGATGATGGTTTTGTAACATTAAATGTTTTGCGAGAAAGAAATACAACTGCTGTCATGGCTCGAAATCGTTTAGAAGAAGTACGTCAAGTAGCTGTTAACGAAATAACGATTCGAAGGCGATTACGAGAACATGGATTACGCTCCAGAAGACCTGCAACTGGTTCGGAGTTACTTAGGAACCACAGAACAGAACTTCTTCGATTTGCCAGGAAGCATCAACATTGGAATGCCGATGACTGGAGTAAGATTTTATTTTCTGACGAGTCAAGGTTTTGTTTACGTTCTTCTGATGACCGTGAAAGAATATACCGAAGAAGAGGCGACAGGTTTGACCAAGCAAATTTTTCCACAAGACTCAGTTATGGAGGAGGGTCGGTAATGGTTTGGGGCGGCAAAAGCATGGAAGCTCGTACTGATTTAGTCATTGTTGGCGGCGGAGCAATGACAGTTAACCGATATATTCGTGATGTGCTATATCCACATGTAATTCCATTTGCACCGTTTATAGGAAACGAATTCATGTTTATGCATGACAACGCTCGACCACATATTGCGAGGATTGCATGTCAATATTTGGACGAAACAGAAATTCAAAGGATGAACTGGCCATCACGTAGCCCAGACCCCAATCCAATTGAGCACGTCTGGGACATGATGGGCAGACGAGTTCATAACCGAGTTCTTTATCCAAATAATTAAAATGTTTTGAGAGATGCTTTGGTCCAAGAATGGAGATTTACCAGATGGAGATTCAACATCTAATAGAGGGTATGCCACGACGCATTGAAGCAGTTATTCGCGCTCGTGGGGGAAATTTCTGTTATTAATTTGTAATAATTATTAGTTTATTTGTTGTTTGATTTGTTTATAAAATTATGTATTACTCTGCTAAAACTGAATAAAAAATTAAGAATGTTGCATTTTTTTTAAACCGTCACATTTCACAAACAAATTAAGATATCGGAGTAAAAAAAACGAAATGTTGTAAACGAATCAGTCTTCTTGATAAAGTTAATTGTGTGCAGACCTACTAGCAGAATTAACCTACAGGGTGTATCAAAAGTAGAGGAAAAATTGTTTTCTTTTCTCCCCTGTATATCCGGCGAGTACTAAATTACTTTTAGATGTCCGAATAATAATCTTAAAACTACAGTATTTTATCTAAAAATTGCTAAAAACTTCAAATAAATCAATCTCCGCATTTGAAAGTTAGAGCATTTTTAAATAAATCATTATTTTGAATGGATCGAATTTTAAGTCGCTGGAGAATTTGGAGAATAGTATACCATATTTTTTTTATAAATGGAAGATACTGTCGGTATATTTTTCCATCCCCAATTATTTTTCTATGTACCATGTGTCCAAATAAGAAATCAAAGGAAGCGTTTATCCTAGAGATTTGAGATTTTTTATTAACAAAAGTGGTCTCCAAAAATCGTTTGAAATTATATGCCCAATTGTAACCGTTGTTTATTTTAAAAATAGTTTATTTATTTAAAACAGGTTATTTATAATTTATTTACACCAATTAATAATTAATTTATTTAGACTTATGCACTATTATAATTCACACTTCTAATTTATTTAACAATTTTTCTTTATTCGGCAACATTTATTATTATTGAAACTTCTGTATATAAACTTCAACTGAACTGCTAAACAATGTCGCGCTATTTATATAAAGCCAGCCCTGCTCTAGCAGATTCTCAGTGGTCTAGAAGCTCTGGAAATCTTTCCTCTATGAGTCAGCTTTATGTTACACTCAAATTAATTTTGCCAATACAGCAAAATATCTGGATATGACACTTAATGCTATACTTCGCTGGAAAGTCCATATTAAAAAGAAACGCGAAAAACTTGGTATAAAATACAAAATAATGTATTGGTTGTTAGGAAAAAACTCAAAATTACAATAAGAAGAAAAATTACCTTTATTTTTGTAGTAGTAACAGTAATACAGGAAACAGCAGTAGACATCATAAACTTGAAAGGTTTTAAATAAACAATAAATTATCGTTTAACAATGTTCTTCAACATCCCTTTAATTTTAAATGCTTAGCATGAACTAGATTTCTATAGAGAAAGTAAAAGTTGAAAAGTCTTTTGGTAGGTAGAGAAGGGGCAAACGTCAAACCACGTCGGGCGGCTCCGAGAATTTCACAGTAATGTTTACCTGCCAGTGTCGTTTTATAGAATAAGTAATTTTAAATTGTTATCGGCGGAACCGGACAATCGCATGTATTTATGGATTATAAATAATTATCAAATATGTATTATAATATTCAAATTATAATTTTACAAAATTTCAACAGCTATTCACAATTTATTAAACTATTTACTCGAAATTGTTATTAACATCTATAAAATAATTTTGTACGCCAATGTATCGCGTCCACTTCGGTGAGATCCGCTGCCAACCTGTCAATTTATGTGTATAAAGTGGGAGAACTGGCAAAAGCATTTTCAACTTTTACTTCTGTTCTACCTTTGATTATTGTATGTGGCTGGAATGCAATTTTGTGACTTACTGATAGGAAATCAGTTTTCATTATTCATTCTGTTTTCTTTCGAACAAAAATGAAAATCTAAATAACAATCCTGTTTATACTTTTTAACTTCACGCTATTATTTAATGGTATTTTTTTGTTTTGACAGAATAGGTTAATTCTTTCAAGACAACTTATTAGACTTAGGTAACTTCTCATACATTTTCCCGTAAATATTGTTGCCTGCCTATATTTTATTATTGTTTTTTATTGAATATACTTAGTTCTTTTAGTTTAAGCGATAAATATATATAATAATAATTAATTAGTGTTTCACTTGTTATACAAATCCATATACTTTTATTAAAACTAGCATATATACTTTTTAATTACGAATTCTGTTAAAAATTGTATTGTCAGTATAAGCAACAATAGTCCATTAGTACAAAAAATGAATTGGCGCTGCTGTCACGCACGGAGCGAATACACTAGTGAGTAGAATCTTAGAACATGAAGTTTTTCAACCCTAGATAAGTTAGGTTAGAATAAAATTGCCAGTTGATCTTCACATACTTTGATTTTCTTTTACTATACGGAGAATGGTCGCGCTGCGCAGCTTTCTGAGTGCCTTTTGAAAGGAGAGAAAACTCCGCCATTTTGATCCCTTATTACGTGTTGCCTACATCTTGGCGCAATATTTTTAATAGGTGCGTTTTAATCATCCGCTTCTGCTTCGGAATTATCGGTTTTCTTGTTTTATTCTGACAGGTTTAAACGACTAAACCGACAATTCCGGAAGCAGAAGCGGATGATTAAAACGCACCTGATATTTTGCTTGCTGTTGTCAGTGTCCAGTGAATATTATTTTTGGAGTCACAGTTTATTGCTAAAGAATCAGTTAGCTCACTCGGACCAGTTGAAAGTTCCAAAATAACATTCACTCCAGGAATACAAATTCAGGATACGCAGAAGACTGCTGTTTTATTATAGGCAGTTGTCATATATTGTATTATCCGAGTTGCGCAGTGTATAAACTGGAACATTGAGATCAAAAGTGCCGACGCAGAGTGAGCGATCTGATTCTTTTGCTATAAACTATGGCATAGGAATCAAAATGGCCGCGCCCTATGTTGGGCGTGTCGGACCTCTCTCTTGCACCGTATAGTAATCAAAGTATGTGGTTGATCTTAATGATCAGATTGTAATAGTCGCAAATGCTTTACTTGGGGAATTTATTAAAAAAAAACGAGTATGGGTAGATAATACATTTTCATTATTTATTTATGTACTTGGGTGCTGTAGTCCTACAGCCCCTACAAACAAGCCCCCACTGGGCATAACGTTTTTTTTTTCTCCAAAATTCTACAATACAGTTACTCAGCCTCCGGCCGCCAGCGTCCTTTCTTATTTTGGACACCCGGTACTTTCTTGCGCTTTTTTTAGTTGTTTAATCAAAATAAAAAGGAAATTATTATTAAAGAAACAAAACATTTAGGTACCTACCTATTTTCAAATATTTTACAGGAGGAAGTAATCATTTTCGTATATAAAATTGACCCCTAGCATCACTGTTATATACAGGGGGGAATGTCTTTGCTTTAGAACTACCGCAACTCATAAAATTTATGTTAAGGATCTTTCTTTCCAACATCTAAGTTAGAAAAACCTATTATTTCGACATTTCTTACGTACAAAGTTAGAAATTTTTTTCTAATGTGAAAAAATATATTTTGTGGACCGTCTACGCTATCCTAAACGTTCTGTAAGAATACAACTAACATATACCCATGATATTTTCTGATTTAGAAGTCGGAAAAAATAAAAAAGAAATTTATGAACTTTTTTCAATTTTGTGAAGGCATTGCAGGGATACAACTAACATAGAACATATTTTTCTGGTTAGAAGTCGGAAAAGTATTTTTTTTATCACTATACAAAGTAGGCTTTTGCGCTTCGAAATTCAACCGCCAAGTTGACGTTTTCCGCGAACTGACATTAAGTGATAGCTTTGTCGCACGCCTAATTTAAATTAGATATAATATAATATTTCTTTTTAATAAATGATTTTGAAGTTATTTGTAACTAGTTTGATGTTTTTTCTTTTATTATCGAAGTTAACATTGACTTTGAATAGCAACTCTTTTTTCATGAATAACGTAGATATAGGCAACACATTATACTACCTATTACCTACCTATTACTACCTATTACAAATTTTCAGTTTTTATATTTATTTCTTGAAATAATATGATCGTAGAAAAAATCTTGTGTGCATTTTGAGCGAAAAGTTCGTTGCCGCTTTCTCAAGCGGCTAAGTACCTATTACTGTTCGGTCTCAATACACAAATAACTATTTCTGAGTTATAAATCATAAAAATTAAAAAAAAAATGGACCATCTACTCTTCCATTAATGCATTGTAAGGATGTAACTAACATAATCGTGATATTTTTCTATTTTGGAAGTCGGAAAAATGCGTTTTCTGAATTATAGGTTGGAAAAATCGAATTTTATGAGTTCTAAGTTTTGTAAAAGTAAAAATAACATATTCCATGATATTTTTGTGGTTTAGACGTCGGAAAATGAGTTTTCTGAGTTCTAAGTGGGCAGAATTAAAATTATATTTCGTAAAATATCTTATATTATATTGTTGCTTAAAACTATCATAGTTTATATAATAAAAAATGAACAAAATAGATGTTGGTTTTTAAAATACAAATAATGCGTTTTTTTTCATAGGTATGCCAAGCCAACGTAATTTTAAAGAAACGCCTAGAGGCTGGTCGGTTTTACGACTTTACCGTAGAAGCAAGAAGCCAAAGAAACGAATTTTCAACACTAAACTGTTCATTTCGGGTTACAAACGCCACAACGCCGATGGAGAAAATTTTTCCTGGAGCGCCGAGCTTATTATCAATTTCAGGTAACTTTACTTTTTGAATAGCTTCAATTTTCATTGGCAAAACTAGCGATTGATCCACAAAAAATGTGTCTAAAGTAGTAGGCTACGACTGTCAAAGACAAATATATACTTTTTTTCCATAGCCTACTTTAGAAACATTTTTTGTGGATCACTCCATATAAAGGGATACAAAAGTAAATATTAATAACACACATAATGATGGTTTTTCTTCTTTCAGAGGCTGCAAGAAGAAACGTAGAGCTTGGAACGATTCTGGCGAAGGGAAACCCGAAAAGCTCCAGGGCCGTACTGTTGGAATTGTGGGGTTCCCCGCAATTCGGACTGCGCCAGAAATTGGTGACCGACCGAGATGCTGAGGGTACCGTTTTGTTATTAAGTTCTTTGGATTATGAGAAGAAGACTGTACATCACCTTACTTTGTTGGCTAATGTGAGTGATATTATTTCATTCCGTTTAGGGCGCCACTGCACCGGATTGTCAAATAAGCGAGAACTTATCGCGGAAACCGTGTTTGAAAAAAAATTCATAATCAAGTTATCGAACATTAAGTATAGGCAGGCAGAGTAGGACCGTGCTAGTAAAGAGGGTACATTAAGGGTTTTATGAAAATAAGCCGCACATACTAAAAAATATAAATCTAATAAAATTAAATAGTACATTCAAGAAAATACTATTCAGAGACATTCAAATAATAATGGTAAACTGTAAGGTATTTAAGTAGTAGTATAGAAAACAGGGGCGGTTTCTCTATTGGTTCATTTGTACAGTAAACACCCAGTTAAATATGTAAATTTAAGTTTAATATTTTTATTATTTTCCTAGGCTTGAATCTATATTTTTTGGTACACCACTGCCTTCTGCACGCGAATGCCTGTAGTTAAAAAGATAGGTAAACAGATCCATGAAATAAACAGTTGTGTCAGCTTGAAACCACCCAGTTATTATAACTTCGGTTGGTCAGGTCACTCTGCATTGGAGCCTTTGATCCAACGTTGCCACATTTAATAGATTTCTACCTTTTTGGTAGATTTTCAGTTACATATTTTGGTTAGTTGTAGCATACATTTTTTTAGTAGATTTTTAAAATTTTTGTAGATTTTTGTGAATTTTTGTAGATTTTGTAGATTTTTGTAGATTTTTGTAGATTTTTGTAGATTTTTGTAGATTTTTGTAGATTTTTGTAGATTTTTGTAGATTTTTGTAGATTTTTGTAGATTTTTGTAGATTTTTGTAGATTTTTGTAGATTTTTGTAGATTTTTGTAGATTTTTGTAGATTTTTGTAGATTTTTGTAGATTTTTGTAGATTTTTGTAGATTTTGTAGATTTTTGTATATTTTTGTAGATTTTTGTAGATTGTTGTAGATTTTTGTAGATTTTTGTAGATTTTTGTAGATTTTTGTAGATTTTTGTAGATTTTTGTAGATTTTTGTAGATTTTTGTAGATTTTTGTAGATTTTTGTAGATTTTTGTAGATTTTTGTAGATTTTTGTAGATTTTTGTAGATTTTTGTAGATTTTTGTAGATTTTTGTAGATTTTTGTATATTTTTGTAGATTTTTGTAGATTGTTGTAGATTTTTGTAGATTTTTGTAGATTTTTGTAGATTTTTGTAGATTTTTGTAGATTTTTGTAGATTTTTGTAGATTTTTGTAGATTTTTGTAGATTTTTGTAGATTTTTGTAGATTTTTGTAGATTTTTGTAGATTTTTGTAGATTTTTGTAGATTTTAGTAATTTCTATAAATTTCTATAAAGTTAAATAATTGTGACACTAAAAATAATTTCTAAAAACGTTAGGTTATAATTTATCAAAATAAATAACCGATCATTGATTATTTAAAATAATAGGTTTTCGATTAATCGATTACCTAAAAATAATCGATTTTTTTCGATTATTCGATTATTTTCGATTATTCGATTAATTGATTAATGTAGTTGCAGGGGGGCTTATAACATATGCGCGTTATATCAACAGGTTAGTGCGCAACACATCCGCGCATATCAGTCCGTTTTACAATAATAAAATGATATTTAAATTTAAAGTACACTGAATAATTGAATAATTCAAATATATTTCGCTTAATAACAAAAGTAATACACGGTAAGTATTGTTTTAAAATTATATATTTATATAAATACTACAATTATTTGAAAAATATGAATTAATCAATTATTTGTACAATGTAAATCTGACTTTGGGATTGTCACCCGTTCGAACCGATACAATAACAAAACTGAACAAAACAATATGGTTATGGTTGCTGAATAAAACGTGGTAAGTACTTTTTCTTTTATTTAATTTTAGTTTTAGTTAAACATGTTAAATTTAAAATTAAACAAAGATATTTTGATGTTTTAACATGTGTTTAGCAGGTCCTGTTCGTAATAAATTCATAATATCTAATTGTAATAGCGTTGTTTGTATAAAGGTAAATAGTACAATTTACTGTCCAATTTATGTTGTACATTTTAAGAACACATTTTTTTTATTTCCTTCCGATATTAAGCAAGGAACTAAATGATGCCGCATAAACTTCATCATTCCACTTGCGAAAAACCATTTATAGGTTACAAGACTGTAAATTCGCATTACCTTTGGTACCCTTGAAAGCTAAATTAACAGTAAAGAGTAATACTAAAGTAATATTGTTATCATACCGTCAAACAAATTACCAGTGAAAAGAAAGTTACATTCGATTAAAATTTCATCCAATGAAATATAATTATTACCTAAAAAACAATAATTAGCTCTTGGATTTTTAAATCAATCCAGTGAATGGTTAGCTCCAAGGGAGAAAAAACTCTAGTTTATAATTAGAAAACAGCAAAGTAAAATTTGCGAATCAAAGAAGGACCTCAAAGCTTGATCCCGCAGACATCTGTTTGTTTTTTTTTAAGTACTACATATAATTAAAAGATGAAGGGACTACCATTATTAATTATAAAATATTATAATGAAAGTATAAAACTGTGACAATGTCTAAAAGAAAAAAGTGATTCAAAATGATATGAAGTTAAAATACTACTTTGAATTTTTTCTGTTTCAGATTATATGGATGGTTCTCCTTAATGTGTTTTGTTACCTACCCAAGTTTACAGAAAGTTTTAGTTGTTTTATGAAAATATTGTTTATTAAGAAAATTTATTATAAATTAGTTTTAATGATATAATAGATAATACAATTATTTTATATTAAATTATTTTACCTCTACCCTTCCTAAAATTATGGGTCATAAAATTTTACATTTTGATTGGCATTTTGTTACATCTTGCACCTTGTCTGTGTTGTAAAAAATGCCAGTAAAAATGCAAAATTTTAGTTATACTAATTAAAGTAGAGCCACAAACAAAATCCCGCTAATTTTTAAATAAAATAAAATATGCAGGTATCTATATTACCGACTGAGAAATAGTTGGACAAATCCCTTACCGGTGGCGCTGCAAGCAAACGTGTTGCCATATTTCTTCAAAGAAACGGCAACTCTTAATTATCCTTCCTCCATGTGTAGTTGTAGTGTTTGGTAACAGTATGATACTGATAACTACATTCAATACAAATACAAATTAATAAAGAAAACGCTATTTATCCTTGTACAAACTTTGAACCAAACTTACAAATAAATGCTAAAATTGTTGGAAAAAATTGAACACCCGTTTTAAATAACTTAAAAATTGCTGAAAACTATTTATATGTTTCTATGACAACCGCCAAGAGCCGTACATCCACGACCTGTCATAAAAGAGGTTTTTGTTATTTATATACACTGCTGGCAAGATCAAACCTTTAGTCCTGCTTTGTTTGTGTTGGAGTAAATAGTAAATGACGTTCACATGTGCAGGAGAAGAAGAAAAAATGTGATATCGAATTGCTAGTGACTCGACCATTGACTGTCAATCTTGGTACTGTGTTATTTCTATTCATGCATGTGCGAGCGCCATTTACTATTAAATCATTGTATTTAGATCAACTAGTAGAACAATACCAATGCAAATTATATTGGAGGACAATGGACAGTATCAATAGATGTCAGCAAGCTCCGTGGTGTCCAAGCCATGTCTTTGATAATTTTGTCGTCTTCTACAGAGCCATCGAACGGTTGTCGAAACTGTATAACAAACGTAATTTTTCTATTTACTCATAGATGGAACGATAATCGATTCAGAATATTTGTTTTAAAAATGAGATATACGAGTTTAATTATGCTTGACGAACATTTATTTACGATTTTCATCATTTTAGAGAATATAAACAATATTAATTTAAATTTGGTAGTCTATCCAAATTAATTTAAAAATTAAAAAAACTTTATGTATATAGAATTCTATACTTAGTGATCAAGGGAGCGTCTAGCACACGAGTCATTTGGATGAAGTTCTGTACAGTTCTAACAGATGTCGCGACAGAATTGCCTCGTCCATAAGGTTGATCCACTAGGATATCTAAATACAATGATTAAATGCAATACAAATAAAGTAGGACTGAAGATTTGATCTAACCAAGACCGTAAATAACTAAAAAATCTGCTTTAATCTAAAGAATTTTCAAGGTAAACTCCGTCAAGGTTCCTTTGAAATTACAAATCACGATAAAATAGTCACTAAACAAATTTAAATATCGTGCACGGCATTACTCGGTTTTTTAACCTACCAGCTAACAGCTAATTATATTCACAAATATTTGTTTAAAAAAGTAAACGGTTTTTATTGGTAAAGCAACGTCAATATTATTTTTTTTATGTGTTAAACATAGATAAAGCAAAAAAGTCTGACAAGATAAATAGTATATTACGTAAAAAAGGTTAACCATTAATTATATACTGTTCAGTTTCTTTTTAAAATAGGGGATGGCTATGAAAATCAAACACCTCTAACTCTATACAGGGTCTTTTTATAAATCACGTACATGCGGGAGTAATTATTTGGCATATATTTCATGATTAAATGCCATATAAACATAGGTCCCCGAACACTTCGTTACCCATCTACAGAGTGTTCAAATTTCTGATTTTTTGTTTAAAGCTCCTGCATTTTTTAATATATTAAGTTTAAATTTGGAATCTAGATTGCGCTGTAGGGTTTACATCATGCGGCATTGTTAAAATCTAAAAGATTATATATTTTGTTCAGGGATCTTGCATCTTTTTCTTCTTCTGGACTTTTTTGCCGTACATTCTATATGTACAAGGTTATTCTTTATAAATAAAAGTTGTGTGGTTAATTATAAAATTTGGTGTTTTTCTCTTTATCCGTTCATTAGTTATTGAGAATACAGACACACACAGACACTCAAACACAGGAATCATTGCAAAACGGATCCAGGGGACCCCAAAACGTAAAAATCTGTCGAAAACTCGAGGTCAAAATAATCATTCTTTTTTTTATTATACAAGTTATTAGAATGTAGAAAACCATTTTCTGTAAGTTATTAGC